TCTAGAAACAAAAATCTGGGTGACTGTACATCTTGAATTCCTGAGTAACAAAATCTCAGAAATATCTTGTCTGGATTACTCAAAGTACTTAGTTTTGTAATAAAAAGATGGAGAGCTTGTAAGAGCAAGTGTTCAGACAACAGGTTGGAAGAGAAGCAGAGATTTCAGAGGACTAACCCCGAAGTACACCAAGGCTTTTGAAAGGACTTGCTGGATAGAGCTTGTCAGAGTGATTGTAGGTGTCTGCAGTGTATTCCCTGGGGCATCTACAGCATTTGTGAGACATCAGTGCTGGCCACGCTAGTGCACCATCATGCATGATGGACAGAAGTAGGCACTTTCAGGGAACGGTTTGGGTAATCTCATCCTGAAGTAAGTGTCTTCAACAGCAGCCCAGTGTGCCTACCTCTCCCAACTAACTGTAAAAGCATATTAGACTGAGTAAATCATATGTAATGTCTCCACTGCAGGCATGTAAAGTTAGGTGAGATGACACAATGAAATTGATGATGGTGAGATTCACAGGTATAGCCCTTTTTGTTAAATGAAATCTCAATAGGTTTGATACTTGCTGTCAAAATACAATGTAGAAAGGAGCTTTGCCATTGTCAAAGGCTGTTTTGAAGGTAAAGTGATCCAGAGAAGTAAATTATAATCATAGTAAATTAACAGGCATAGCTATTCGAGTGTATCCTAAAGATGGCAAAGAAAAGCTGACAGCTGTCACAGAAGTGCCGGTGGTTGGATAGCACCTGAAAAGCTCATTATATTGTTGAAAGAATGACACTTTTAGCAAAAAGAAAGGCCACCTTATAGAAAATATGTCTAGCTAGTCAGCTTCTGCTGTTGTATGCTTCCTTGTCAGCATGTTTGAAATGTTTCTTCTGTCCTGTGGGCTGCCTCAGGTAGTCTGAACTACTCAACATGCTCCTGACTTTATAGTGCTTCTCCAACATGTGCTCTTGCATTAGAAGCCTGAAACCAAAGTCCAAGTCCCCTTGCCACTAAAAAAAACCACTCCCTGGGGAGACTCTGTAATACAAGACCCTATTTTTTGATTTGATAATGAAGAGTTTTATCAAATCCAGGCCTTAGTTTCAGGCTCGCTGGGCAACGGAAGGCACTAACACTGCTATGTACTTACAGATAATTTATTCTTTTCCTGTCTGTGGCACTGAGACCTAGATTACTCACATGCAGATAGTACTGCTTTATGGAAACCATACTGGAAACTGAAACATAAAATATCTGGATTTGTCACAAGACTGGCTAAAAGAGACAACAGCTGTAAAGATACATGCTTCTGAAGCATAATGGTAGCAAATTCTCTTTTTTGTACCCCGAGCCCCTTACTTATCAATGTGCCCTAGACTTTGGTGGTAGGTTTTTCAACTATAGCTGAGTATAATGTCATCATCAAGGGTCTAAGGAGCTATACAATAAGCAAGGTGGTAACCAGGTTTGGGAGATGTCAGGAATCAAGCCAGCTGTCTCCAGGCTGTTAGAGGTAGATAGGACAAATGACCAGACCAGCTCAAAGGCAGGCTGCTGGTTTGCATGCGTGTAGGCTGAATAACTGACCTTGTAAACAGCATACCTGCTCTGCCAAGCATTCTGACAAAGAAGAATGGAATTTTTTGTGCATCCAAAGATGCGACACTAGGAGAAAAACTGAAATAAACCTCTGGGATTCACGTGAGAGAAGGGATAAAAACAGTACAAAATTATGCAAATACAATGTTTTTCCTCTGTCTCTATCTCTATCTGCAAACAAGCTTTTAAACTTCTTTTCCCTGTACTGCAGAGAGCCTCCTAAGAGGGAATCAGGACACCGCTGCAACTTTCATCTGGGTAAACAGCATGTTCACCCCGTAGCTATCCTCTAGTGCTCAAACAGCAGACTGAAAATGTTCAAGCAAGTTTCTTCCCCAAAAGCTGTTTTTGCTAGTTTCCACAGGCAAGAGGTGATGGTCTAAAATGTGTAAGACTAGAAAATAAGGGAGAGAGGGCAGCTGTGGCCCAGAATTGCCCATTCTCTTAAAAGAGTAAGATTTTAGGGTGGCATGACATTACTTTAATATTTCTGCAACTTATTGGCTATGTTGTAGCTCCTACTGTAAAAAGTCACCTGAAAGGTGACCTAGTAAAGGCAGTAGCCAGCTTTGATGGATACTCCAGAAGTTTGGCTTTACTGACCCACCCTTGTTAAGATTGTTACATGGAAAATACATACTAAGTTTCCAAAATTCAAGACATGTTCCAGGAACTTAATTCTCCTGCCTCCCATTGCTTGCCTTCTGCTCTGATTTGTCTTGCCTCACTGGCTGCTCCTCCTTTCAGCAGCTTCACAATACTTCTGCATTCCCTCACTTCTACATCATTAATGCATTTAAAGTTCCAACTGAGGTATCTCTAATTCCACATTCCACTTTACCTTGTGACTAGTGGTTGTACAGCAACTCTTTTTCTTTTGATTTCTGAGGAAAATGTTGTACCTTCGAGATTTCAGCAACATGGGAGGACCTTGTTTCCTTTGCTAAGCTTCAATGAACAACTGGTAAAATACTGTACTGCTTGGTCAATTAAACATCACTGTTGTAATATGAATTTTTCTAGAAGGGCAGATGCTATTTATTCAGGCTATATCTAACCTTGTCCCTTTTTTTAACCAGAAGAGAGAGCATAGATATTCCTGGCAATACTGACTTTAGATAACAGGTTTCTAATCTTGAAAAAAAATTTTTAATTTTTCCCAACTTGCCTGCCTTCCTGACTGTTTGCAATCTCAGATGGGATTTGCCGTTTGTGGCTGCCAGCCTAAAGAAATTACATGTCTTACATCACCTCAAGAGGGTTGCTCCTCTATTTTGGGCTTTATTTTTTAAATACATTTCAAAAGCACAGTACAAGGGCATATGTATCCTGAGAGCAGCAGGAGAATGTTTAAAAGTATATTAAAATTAAAAAGATTATTTCTGCATCCTGCTGCCTTCTTTTTGAAATGAGTCTCCACCACTGAAAAGAAAGAGGTAAGCAGATCTGGAAAAAAAACCATAAAATCTTTAAATCATGTAAAAAATGCTTTGAGTGACTAACTAAAAAGTGATGCGTGTACCTCTGCAACTGTTGTGCCCCAAACATTTCCTAAACCTAAGCTTTGTCTTAGAGAGAACTTTGAAAGGGCACAGCGCAGACTTTGTGTGAGAAAAGGTTAAACCAGTACATTTTCTACTGTAAGTGCTCTTATAGGCTAAGACTTTGGAGGCAAATGCATGAATGAAATATGTGAAGCTATATATTTTGTAGTTCACGTAATGGCAGGCAATCCTCTTCCATAAAATCTACTTTGTCTTATTCCCACATTGGAAACTGGTTAACTACTCAGAAGCTTAGATCTAGCATATGAAGCAGAGAAGTGCCTGTCTAGGAAAGGCCAGTGATGCCTCTGATTTAATGGGATCACTGAGGTTACTAACCATGAGTCATCGGTGTTTCTGTTCAGGACTAAGACCTGTGTTTGCAGCACCTGACATGCTTCAATACTCTGCACTCAATTTTGTAACTCAAGAGCCAAGCTTTACAATGCAGCTTTAGAATAAATTAATTTTCTTGCAGTGCAGAAATTTCCCAATACCTGTCTTAGGAACTCTCCATGTGTGGTCACAATGATGCAGAAAAACAGGATGTATTCTGGTGTGATTTGATTTGATGGATTAGGTGATGCCCAGGCAAAGAGTAGAGGACTAACCTCATTTTCAAGCCAATATTAATGGCTCACACAACAATGACAGTAACAGAGATATGCCTGGAGCTGGGGAAATTCAGCCAAAAGGTCTCACTTGCTTATTCAGAATACTTTGAATAAAACAAATACATGATTCCTGGACTTTTGCGGCTTAAATTGATGGGAGTTATTGATGCAGTATTTATAATATTTTTTCTGGGAGAGGAAGGATAGATTATTAGTAGCAATTTTCTGTAAGTCATAAATAAATTTTAGAGTGCCTAAGGCCAACCATAAAAAGTATTGTATTCCCATTAGCAAGGGAAATTTGCTGTTGTCACCCTGTCCCCTTGAGTGACTGTCAGGTGAAAAGGATGCCTACTTGTGTCACCTGCAGCCATGTATTCTCTCTACAAACCATTCTGCACACATGTTTTCATGATCATTACTTAGTAGCAAATAAAATCAGAATAGTCTTATAAAATGACTGGACTTAAATTCCAACAGAAGACCCCTTCAGCCCCACTTGGGAGTACAGGAGAGAGTGGGTACAGACAGTCCCATTTCCACATTTTTTCTTGCCTTGCCAAAAAGTACTAGGAAGTCTGAGCTATTTGCAGATGGGTTGTCTACAACATAATTCATCTCCTCCCATAACAGTTCCCCAGCAGAAACAACAGTGCAGATCAAATGTTTGACTACTTGTAAAGTGAATTCTACTATTTTGATGCAGAAGGTAGGATTTTTCAAAAGATTTCATTTCTGCTTCAGTTGATTTAGCATTTGTGTGGAATTTTGCCAGTAATGCCTTTGTAAGCACTGTTATACCCTGTAGAATACTTGAAAAATCCTACCTAGAGCATCAGTGGTTTCGTCTTCGTGCTGTGTGGTTTTTTTGTTTGAGTTATCTCATGATGACCCTAATCATCCAACTGATCAAAACAACTACACCCAAAGGGACTTCAGAACTGAAACCTAACCCTTAATCTGCATGTAGAAGCCACTTTTCTTCTCTTCAGTGGGCAACACCAAAATCCTCTGCCTTCCTCCTGACCCTCAATCTTTGAAATCCCCCCCTACACTTCTGTGGATGTTTAAAGATCCCTCTCACTGAACTTTCCTACTGAAGTGCCGTCAGATGCTAACTAATTGTAGTGCAACTGCTGTTTTGCACACAGATTGCTTTCTGATTTTATTAGGAACCATAAATTATGCAGCAGTGAATTTTGACTGGGAAGAAGAAAAGGCTGAGTTAATAACAACAGACATACTTTACCTTTGGGTCGTGTATTCCAGAAAGCTCTTCATAGATCTTCTCTCCTACCATGACAGCAGCTAGGTTGGCTGTGTATGTAGACAAACAAAACAGACAGAAAATAGCCCAGAGATTCATTAAAAATCTTCCAGTCCAGCACTTGGGGGGTTTGATGGCAGCTGTTCTTCCAAACAAGATCGCATAGCAGACGTTCAGGGCAGAGGAGAAAGAGAAGACTTTGTTCCTATTCCTTCCCTTGGGGGTCATCCCAAAAGGACTTTTCCACTCATATAAGGTGAGGAATATAGCTGTGATGTGGAGAGCAACAAATATCCCCAGCCACATAGTCCAGTGAAGCGGCCACATAAAGGCTCCAATAGGAGCTGCTGTGTCTCTGGTCCTCACCAAGATGCCCAAGCTGGTTGAAAAGAAAGGGCTGGTGAAATCAATCACTTGGCTGCGGGCAGTGTTAATGCTAAATGACGTCACTGCCATGTGAGCTGTGCCAGCAAGAAGGTCTCCCACCAGCCCTGTCCAGTGGCCATTCTTCCAGGCTCCATATTTTCCATCACCAACAATGTACAAGTCAAAATCAAAATTCATATCCTCAGCTAGCTTCTCCAGCAGGTCAATGCAGTAGCCATAGCAGCACTTCTTCAGCTCAATGGGAACGGTGTCATTCCCTCCTTGAAGGGTTTCAAACAGGTTATCCAGCACAGCTGAATCATTGGTCAAAGGATCCAGGCACAGCTGCCCTGCTGGGCAAAGACCTTCATCATCTACATCTCTTGTAAAGACAAATGGATGCTCAATGAGAGTTACCACTCTGAGGTGCAGCCGGGTGGGGTGTTGCATGTGATTTTTATGTCTCTGGGCCTGTTCTGGCCATATCCCATAGTCCATTATTATCTTTCCTTCTTGCCAGCTCCCGAGACGAGTCCACGTTGGGTTCCCAACAGGGTCGTGCTGCAGATTCCAGATGAAGAAGTTGTTTTCTGAGCTGACAATGGAGGAGCCTTTCACTTTAATGTGGCCACTGAGACCGTCAAAAGTTGTGTTGGCTAAAAACCTGTTGGAGGGAGAAAGCAGAGTAATCAGAAGCAGACAACTGAAGTCATCATGCTAAAGCTTATGCAGACACCATGAATTTATGTTTAAGAGAATAGACTGGGGATATTGTTGAACACCTGTATCATTAATAGCTTTCCTATGGCATGATGAACAAGCCACTTAATTTATGACTAAAGTACTTGGGAACGCTCTCCTACATATCTTATGTAAGGTAAATGAAGACCCTTCAGGAAAGATATTCTTTTTACTTACTAGAAAAAATGAGTGAGAGAACACCACTTTTTTCGTTACTTTTGCCTCATAAATTAATGAAACATAGGTTAGTTCTAAGCTGAACTTACCAGATCTGTAGTCAGTTTCCTAGATAGAAATATGTATGAAAAATGGAAGAGTGGAAATTATGTATGAAATGTCCTTCCAAGAAAAATCTTATAATCTCAGTAAGATCTAGCCTACATAAGAGAGGTTACTGAAGTACTGTCAACAGCTTTCAAGCACTCTGAAGTGAACCAATCTGGATTTGAAAATGCAAATTTGGCATTGGTAAATCACTGTTAGCCACTTCAGAATGAAGAAAGGGACTCAGTGAAAGGTGGTTGCCATAGGACAGTAGTTTTAATTCTTACATTAAAAAAAATAGTTTCTTAAAATATATGCAAAAGTGATGTTCTTAAAAGTGCAATTTTGACATTGTAGCAGATCTCATGAAGTATGCCAGTTTTGCACTGCACATTTTGCATTGAGATTTCTGCGCTTCTGCTATTCCAGATATTCACAATAAAGTTATTTCCTTTGTATTGGGTGGCAATGTTTGCTAGTAGTTGTCCTCCCTTTATGTTGAATTCAGCTTGTCGTAAGTCATTATCAAAGAGGCTAAAATAACATGTATAAAGGAGCAGGAAATAAGTGTTATAAGGAGAAAATCCATTTTGCTGTAAAGACCATGACAAGCTGAACTGCACTCCGTTAGTAAGAAAGCTGCTATGCATTTTGCAGGGGCTGTATAGGGACCCTACTAAGACTGTTTAAGTCTTAGTATGGTGATTCCATTAAAATCAACTGAGTTAAACTGCTGCTAATATGGTGTAAGGTAAATCAGGCACATATTTTTCAGTAAGAGGCATTCAGAAGACAGACTTTAGCTGTCATAGTAAAATATAATGCCTCACATTAGTTCTGCAGATTGGATGAAAGCAAGTATTGGAAGAAGTATAAAGTCTATAGCTGTCATTCCAGCCTCAATAAGCAAGACATAAACTTTAAGCAGTGTCAATTGTTTATCAATAGTTAGAGCAGATAAAAAAAACCGTTAAATTGATTTGAAAAGGATAAATCTACAGCAAGTGTGCATGCATGCATACTTCTGCCCAGTCTCTACCCTTTGTTTTGATGACTTTTGATGATTTTTGATGGAATTTCAGCAGTTAAAACTCTGGACTGTGTATGTCTCAAGATCATACCAGTTTTTGTCCTCAGCAAAGGATAAATATACAAAACTAAATATAGTTTTGAGTGTGGTTGTGTGTTTGAGAGCCTTCTCTGAGATGGCTCCAAAATTCTTCTTATGCAGTCTCTTTTGAGTAGGTTGAGTTCAGAGAAGATACAGCCAATACTGTCAAAAGTAATTGATCTGTACATGTGTTAACTTGGGCCTGAAAATTATGCCTAAAACCGGACATAGGTGTTTATAAATGAGACAGACACATAAATGTGGTTCTCATTTTTAAAATCCTTTACCACTTAGTCTAGTGTTAGCTAAATGATACCGTAAGTGGTGCCTGCCAATGTTTGATGAGTCCTTTCCTCCTACCCTGTATTTCATATTTGATGGTGTACTTGTGTATGTTTGTGTATGTAAACACTATCAAGACAAAGTTTTAGGGGAAGGCAATCTTGAGCACTAAAGAAAGGTTTATGTGCCCGTAAACTTACCTGTTTTTTCTCTCTCCTCCTCAGTCTTTGTAAAAAATAGTGTAACTTCTTCCTTACAAGCCTTGCTGTGCTTATATGCTGAAGCCATCACTATGACAATAACAGTAAACCCACTGCATGTGTACATGGGTCTGTATGTAAAATTTTAAAAGAATTGTTTAAGTGTGGAAAATAGTGTTAACAGTTCACAAAATGCCAAAATTGAGGGAGACAAGTCCTCAGATGGAATAAGCTAGCAAAGTTCTGATGAATTTGGCCCCACGTTGCTACTACAGCTTGGATATCAGAATACTGCAGACCAGGTGCTTTGGGAGTCAATGAAGCTATGGAATAATGCATTAGATTAATTTTCTGCAGATAGAATGAGAACAGTGGAATTTATGCACTGTGTTGTCTGACTTTCACTGTAGAAATAAGCATGCCCATGAGGGTGAATCGAGCCCTCTGTACCTGTCCTGTGGTTGAATTGTGTTAGAAGCGGTTACCTGAGAAATTTAGTAGCATTTAAATGTATGACTTCGCTACGTTATCAAGTTAGTGGCTTACTTTTGCAACTGATTTGCATGTTCTATACTTTCGGTAGTAACAGGACATTAATCAAAACAAATGAGGGGAACCATGTGGGAAATACATTTTAACAACACTTTGTTTTCTAAGTCAGTGGCTATGGCTGCTAATCATTTGCATACACCATATGCAGCACTAGTGAAACTCATGCCAGTGACTTCACGTAAAAACTGCCTTACTTAGTAACATTAGGAAATAGATAAGGGTATCTGACTACATTATATAAGCCAGCAACCTCTAGTGTGAATCTTTGGGAACTCAAGTGCTGTGTATTGCATAGACACACTGGCAGTATCTGAGCAATATCTTTCAGTAGGGCTACTGACATATTTGTATGGAAAGATGACGTGTACAAATTTCAGAACATGAAGGGCCAGATCCTCAAGTCTGACAGCTGAATGAATTTCCTTGATGCTATGTCAATATATGTGAGCTGATGATCACACCAATAGTCTGTTATAGCTGTATCAAAGCTTTACTAGCTCCACTTCAGTTTGACCAATGAGTCCAAAGTGTGTCATTTGCTCCTTTCAGCTTTATTTGGTTTTCATGTGCTTTGTTGTAAGAACTGCTCATTAGAGCTTTAGCAGTACTACCACACTCCAGCAGCAATATGTTAGAATCATAGAATCATAGAATCATTTAGGTTGGAAAAGACCTTTAAGATCATCCAGTCCAACCATTAGCCTAACACTACCAACTGCACCACTAAACCAATTAAGCGTAGAGTAGCAATTTCGTGTTTCCCGGCTTGGTGGCGGGATTATTTTTTAATGAAAGTAAAAACTA